CACCAAACAGCGCCAGATGAATCAAAGAGCCCCAAACCCCAACAAACAACCAAAAAATCAACCAACCAACCAAATCTCTGCCAAAGAAGTGAAGGACACCATCAACTGTAGTGTCAGTCCCCGGCGGGTAGGGATTGCCATCCTACACACTCATACTGGAATTAAAAAGAACCCGGCATGTAAGTGGAATGTTTTAGTAACAGTGGAAGCGGGAAAGAAAAGCTCTATATTGACAAAAGTAATAACTTGAATTGTATTTTAAAACTGAGAAGACAAAAATAGTCTGCATAAATCAAACAAGTTGTCTCTTCATGCCACTTTTATGATGGACATTAATCTTCGTTTCTAGACACAACTGCTGTCTGATGTAACCACGCTTATTGACTTAATGGGAAGGAATTTCTATTAGCCTAGGAAGCTGTGATGAATGCAGTCTTGAAGTTCAATGACTCAGACACTTAGTAACCTCCAACACTGACCCAGGTAGACAGAAATTTAAATCTTCATCCTGGGACATAAGATTATGCTTCATTCATGTTTTGTAGTTAAGAAATTCTGAATGCTCATGTATTTTCTACATCTACTTACACATACCTGTGTGTAGACAAATAAACTCTAGACACAGTATATCATGCATTTTATAAGGGCCCATAGGGACAGGCCAAGGGGAATGGCTTGAACCTGCCCGAGGGGAGATTGAGCTGAGCTCTTAGGCAGAAGCTCTTCCCTGTGAGGGTGCTGAGGCGCTGGCACAGGGTGCCCGGAGAAGCTGTGGCTGCCCCATCCCTGGCAGTGCTCAAGGCCAGGTTGGACACAGGGGCTTGGAGCAAGCTGCTCCAGTGGAAGAGGTCCCTGCCCGTGGCAGGGGTTGGAGCTGGAGGAGCTTTAGGGTCCCTTCAACACAAACCAGGCTGGGATTCCGTGATAATTCTCAAACCTTTTTTTCACATCCATGGGCAGAATTACTGGAAGATTCAAGATCTCTTACATTTATGGATACCAGACGCTGGAGCTGTCACAGAACCTGTGGTGCAAATATCCCCCACTGCTTAAACTTAGAAGACAGCAGTTATTTAGCTCAGAAAATACATGCAAACAGCAACACGTCTACACCTGCAGCAGAGGTTCAAGAGTGGATGTGCCAAAATGCAGTGGAGGTGACAAGATGCACTGGAGGCCTATTTACATGGGGCCTAGTGAAAAGTTAGTGTATGAACATAAGAATGTTCCAAGGCAAAAGGAACAAGGCAACCTAGTTTAATCTGATTATTCTGAGGTTGAGGCAACATATTAATCAAGCAGACAAAACAATTCTATTAATGAAATTCAGAAGGTACAGTACGATAATCAATCTTTTACTATATTGCAAATGATAAAACAAGCATCCAGAAGGGTTATGCTAATTACGTGTTTCAAGTCAAATGAACCTGTTCCATGCTTTGTCTTGTTTAGACAAATAGAGCATTCTGACCATTTAATTATATTTCAGATGTCTATATCAGTGTCTGCAATGATCCATTAGCCTACTGAAGAACTGGAGATAGACTGTTACCTTCTCATAACCAAAGCACACAACCCACCTACGGCACAACCAGGGCTGAACAACTTGCACAGCTGGTGGTGCAGTGAACACAGAGCCAGCCAACACACATGGAGCCAACCTATAGAGATGTGGAGCCAACCCCAGAGACATAGCACCAGTCCCAGAGATGTGGAGCCAACCTACACAGACACAGAGCCAATGTGAGAGAGGTGGAGCCAACCTACAGAGAGACAAAGCCAACCTATAGAGGCATAGAGCCAATGCGAGGGACATGAAGCCAGCCCCAGTGATATGCCATGCTCCCAGCGGGCTCCTTGTGAAGGTGCATGAGGAGAGGGATGGAATTCCCCAGCCCTGGAAACGCAGGGGGCCGGCACAGACTGGGGTGGTTGGCGCAGGGATGTGACAGTGGGAGCTTCACTGGGGAGATGATGAGCCCGGGACAGTGTCCGGCAAACACTAACATGTGTCCAGGCTATCTCTGCTCAGAACATGCACTGTCACGCACATACAGCATCTGTCCCAACAGAAATACTAGCCTGCAAGAGTTCAATACAAACCCAAACCCCTACTCATTCAGAAAGACCTAAGTACAGCACTAATATGTAAAAACCAGCATGAATGCTCCTGTCTCTCTGGCTGTGCAGATACCCTGTGTAACCGAGCCAAAGACAACAGGCACACACAGACACACAGAACCAACCATGCAGAGTGCAGTTGGAAAAAGGAGAGGGGGGACAACACTGCTCCCACAGCCCCAGGAAAAAGAGGACATTAACTACAGCCTGGGAAAACAGAGTGCTCAGTACACATCCCCCAGATGTGTCTGAAATGCAGCAGATAGTGCCCATACTGTAACTTGGTCTCAGTTCCTAAGAGTTGTAAAATCCTGTAAGATAACACAGAGCCCATAAAACGTGTGTCACACCATGCACATGCTATACCTGACAGAAGTACTTGTGATCAAATATATACAGCTGAGAATATGATTCAATGCATTTCACTTTCCTGCAAGGGTGTCACGTTCCTGTTACTCTGCGCCAGTGAAGTACTGGAAATACAAAATATCCCGAAAGCAACCGAAACGTGCCACAGTTTTTCTGTACAGGCTGGGCGGTCTCAGTCAGCCCCATCCCTCTATGTATATTTCTGTCTAGATAGCCACAGACCTTGCCAAGCTTCAGCATGTTTCCTGGCTGCTTTCCCTACTGTCCACAGCCTCCTCTTCAGCCACACGCTTCCATTTCCTCCCCATTTCCCTCGTGCAGAGAGACCGCTCCAGCTACACTGTGCCTCACCTCTGTGGAGCCTCCCTCGCATCTCAGCACTCGCCGCTGGTTTTACCTGTGTACTCTGGCCCAGTTCAACATCTACTTTGGCACCTGGAAGTAAAGAGCAGCCCAGGAGCAGAGCTGCAAAATGAACATACATCCCACTCCATGGAAGAGCCCAGGAAATATGCGATGCTTAAAAATCATCACAAACGGAAAGATTTTTAACCAAAACCTACCAGACCTAATTCAGCAGGTAAACCACAGGGACAAGAGAACAAACAAGTACGTGCCTAAGTCTGTAATTAAAAGCCTCCAGACCCCAGAACCTCCCCCACAAACCCAACCAGAACATCCTTTCTGATAAAAAGAAGCATCATTTTTCCTTATCTTTCAAAGAAAGCTTTCTTAAAAAGCAAACAGAAATCATTGCTCTGTATTTCAGAACGTAAAGCTGTGCCTTTTTGTACCTAGCAATACATTCTATTTTTGTTCAATGCATTTTCCTGTTTTAAGACATTCTATTTTTGTTCAATGCATTTTCCTGTTTTAAGTGAAAAAAGTATAAGTAATAAGAAAATCCACCTTCCCATGTTGTGCCATCCTCCCTACTTTTAAGAAGCAGCCTCTTCATTACATGCAGGAGAAATGACATCCTAAGGAAGTTATACCAATAAACCCAGAGATGCCATCGACTTCAATGGATTTCTGCAGGAACATTTACCAACAGGCTGGAATTTAAGGCCTGGAGTCAGTGGGCTGACATCTGGCCCTACCTTCTCCTTACTGGGAAAAGGGCAGTTTCCAGAGGAGATGCTCTATTTCACATCACCATGCCTGAGCACTCTAGCTTATCTGGTACCCAGCTTTGTTAAGCTGCTCTTTATAGGTAGCCCTGACAAAACTAAATTGTGAGGCAGAAAGGAAAACAAGCTTACAGGAAAAAAAACCATTTCATTGCTATATGTGAAAATACAACATTGATTTTGTATAATTTAGCATCCAGGTTAGAGTTTGGATTTTTAAGCAGTAAGTCATCACCAGGTGATACCTGTTGCCTGAGCACAGCTCAGAGGAATTATTGGACAAATCCAGAGCACGAAAATGAAAATTTTGGCCTTAAGCTCTTCCATATATCTTCTTGGAGCTCTCAAGCACACTCTGTACGAGAGCAGTGACACTTTCAGGTTACAGCTCTTACAAGGATTACTCATCATTTGTACTATTACAGCTGCACAATCTTCCAGGTACGCTTGTGTCAGCTGCTTCAAATTAACTTTAATTCAGGTTTACCAAAGAAGAGAATCCAACTGTAACTAAATGAGGTCAAGGACTTTGGGAGACCTCATTTAATCCCACAATACTTGGATCCTTTTATGAAGTCCATTTGATCATTGTGAGTTGTGCAAATGGGCGCAGTATGTATGGCAGATTAAATAACTGTTTAGTATTAGTCAGAAATAAGAAACAATAACTAATATTTGTAAAAAGTTACACCTGAAATCTTTCACTCTGTCTTACGTTAAATGTACTTAGCAGAAAGGTCAGAGCTCCTGAATTTGCTAGATAAATAAATGTTGGTGAGGTGGATGAATCACTGGAGAATTGGTGCATGGCAGCGAATGAATAACCTGCAAATGCTTCCCAAACCCCATTATTTCCCTTTTTCCAGTAGGCCAAAGATTCATGTCCCTGCATGCCGCCAGTTCATTACAGAGAAATATCATTCCTCTTCTGGCACTCTCTGGGCGGCCTCTCAGCCCCACGAGGACCCTTTAATGTTTAATTCCCCATCATCTGCTCCAGTGAACAGCTTAATCTCTGCTTGTATGATCAATACTATATCAGTGTAAATTAAAATGACAATTTTAAAGTAATTAAGCCTGTTAATGCTCGATTCAAATGTCATTATTTGCACAAGGGATTGAGGAGAAATTACATCGTGTCCAGGGTGACAGGAAAATGTTTGAGCCTTCTCAATCCTGTTGCCGCTGTGCCACTGGAGGCTTTAGCAAAGCAGATTAACTTCTAGCTCCCACTGCCAGGATACCTATCCAATTTCAAAAGAGGATAACACAATTTGATAAATTTAATTCCAGCTACAAACTCAATTATTGTGATAATGGATGAAAACTGGGAGGAGACACTAAACAAGACCCACATAAAAAATACACTTAACTTCAGAATGAGATACAACAGTAATTGTTTGATTTGATTTGCTCTATCCCTTTTGAAAACCCTTTAAATAATTGTGATTGTTAGAAGAATAGCCAGCATTTATTAAATAGCATGAGCTCTAAGATCAAAGTGGCTGCAGTTTAAAGGATTTTGGTCACAATGGAAATGTTTGCTATCCTTTGCTTGTACAGCTACATTTATTAGACAAGGAAAATTACATCATTACAGTATTGGATCTCATAAATAGATCTATAAAACTCAACTATGCTCAGATGAAATCTCAGCCCATTCTGCTCACTGGCCTTTCTAGCCCCTGCCGTGACAGCCTGTAGTCATTTATTATTTCAGAGGAAGATTTTAATAATAGAAACCCTGAAACTTTATGAGACAGCCAGAGGATTCAGTTTGTATTTCAAGTCCCACTAGCTGAAAAAGTAGCCGAGCTATCGCTATTTGAGCTCATCTCCAGGACTCCAGGATACAGAAAACCACAGCAACTGAGGCAAAACACTGGACAGAGCCATCAATATTTGATATTTTGAAGCAGATAACAAGAGTGAAACACCCCATGCCATGGATTTAATTCAACAAGGAGGAACAGTGGGAATCTGCTGCTGCAGGGAGGCTCAGGCAGTAACAGCATCCTGCTAAAGGAGGTACCAAGTGGAACCCCAGGAGGGTCACTCAGCATTCCTGTCACTGGACATGGCTTTAATGAATTCAGTTGATCTGACTGTCCACATTTCCTGAAGTTCTCTGAAATAATTATATTGAATTTTTATTAGTGCACATGAAATATTTTTGGCTTGCGCTTCTTTGAATAATAAATGGCATGTATTAAAGTGCCTTACAGGTCTAATAACCTGCATCAGATCCGTGTACGCCTGTCTTATTAACTTTTAGTTTAAATTACAGCAGAATTCATCAATCAATGTTTCTAAAAAGCAGACTGCAGACTGCCACAGACTCGCAAGAAAAATGTCTCTGAAGACAATTAAAACATCTGCTGTGTCTCAAGTATTAAATCAGAAAATCTATCACTTCACAGGCTTGCTTAGATGAACCGTCACAAGAGGAACCTTGAGAGGTAACCAAAGACTGTTCACAGTTCTTCACAACAAAGAAGAAAAAAAGAAATAACTCAACTTTAAACAGAAGTTTAAGTTTTTAAATTAAGGGCATTACCTGTAGCACAAAGAGAATTTTGCAATGGCAATGAAGGACGCTGATGGAGGCACGCACTGAAGGCTTGGCACTTCACTGCCTCCGCAAGGATAGGAACTGCTACATGGCAGAGGTCAAATTAAAAGTCCTCACTTCCATTTGCTTTAATTAAAATTAGCTTTCTCCTGAAAGATTCAAAACTAAGATGATTGTGTTCAGAAGGGGGAGACGACACCCAGCGGGTTGGGTTGGTTTTGTTGGGTTTGAACCTGGAAACACACTGACTGTTACTGTGAGCTCATTACATTTTGCTCTGTTAATTGGAAAACGTTAAGTTCTGAAGCTGCGGCATGGAACCAGAACCCAACTGTGATCTCTGAACAACATAACCAGAAGCAAATCAGCAGAGGCATTCACTGCTGCAGCTTGGGATTCCCCCTGTATTTCCAAGCACGGCTTTATTCTTCTTTTCTCTTGTCAGTGAGAGGCACAGAGCCTCAGCTGCTGCCATCGGCGGCGATAAGCATGTGGTAGCCAGAGATTACTGCTCTCCGAGAGACTTTAAAGAGAAAAATCAGACATTCTTTGGAGGTATTTTAGAATGAGGTTGGGAAGGATGAAGTAACCTTGCTCTCACCCCCAGCGGGATGAGCACGGCTGACAATTTTATGCAGTATATGCACTGACATCTGAAAGCACTGCCCCTGTTAAGCGGCACCAAAACCGAATTCAGACTCTAGTGCTAACTCCATGCTTCTGCATGTATTCTACAGCCAACTGAATTAACAGAACATGTATTCAAAAGCAGTAACGTGGCAGGAGGACTGAGTAAGTCCAAGCTGTTTTCCTGCACTGTTTCCCAGTGCTGGCAGTAAGAGGACGCAGCTCCTTGAGAGGAATGCTGCCGACAGCTCCCTAATCCGGCCGGTCAGACAGAGAACTCATCACTCTCTAGCTGGAGACACAGACAAGCACTGCCTTCAGTCAGTGTTTGACCAGATGAGTAGAATGCTCTGCACATCACCTAGACCCTGCACAAGCTGCAGTACAGCTTGTCTGTTGTGCATTATTAGTAGGGCATGTTAATAGACATCAGACCATAAGGAGCAACAAATTAATTGTTTCCCTATGTACAATAATAGCTCAATTTATCATGCCTATGTTGACCTGTGTTTGCTTTACAAAGCTTATTAATTATCAGGGATCTTGGTGCTTTAGAAATACAGTGTCAGTAAAATTCATGATAACTTACAGATTCATACAGAGCTATTAAACATATCTTTGCTGCTGAAGACAGGAAAGTGTTCAACTTCATTTTGCTTTTAAAATTTCACTTGCTAAGAAACAATGTTGGTCGTAGGAACAAACCCAACCTTAGTGGGAGTAAACTGCTGCTTGTTCATGCTCACAATCGCTCTGTTTGAAAGTAACTTCTCTTTTTAACAGTATGTCTGGTGGTTACTTTTTTCTATCAGGCTTTTATTGACCTGGCAGAAGATAAGCAAAGACAAAGAACATTAACAGATTATTAGCCTCATCTGATCTTCACACCTACTGTGCGTGTTTGTTGCATTTAGAACACGTAGTAGGAAGGCTCCATGGAGATGACGGCAAGCCTTTGTCTTGAGCTGCACAAGGTGTCCAACTCAGGTCCCAGCCCTGGGCAGATAAACCCTCTCTGGTGCAGCAGCAGATGATCATGTCAGACCCAAACACTGCGAGTTTAGCTGCTTCAGAAAAGCCCAGTCAGACACCAAAAGGAAACCGGTATTTGATAAAACCCCAGTCCTGTCTTAGTAAGACTTTTCTGCAGCTTGACCAAAGGTAGCTTGATAAACGCCCTGAGGACGTTTCTGCAGTCAGGGTGGCTTTCAAAGGAAGCAGTGAAGGCTCACAGGTGTCAGAAGAAGTTTCCTCACCACATCCAGCAAGAGGAGCAAGTGTCCTTACATAGAAAGCACAGAGTGCCCAGAAACACAAATCTAAACCCCAAACTGGCCATTATGACTTTTTGCTCTTTCTTTTTACGCTCACTGCTCGCGGGCTTTGCTGTCAGAACATGCTAACAAGCCTTTAACAGCTTAACAATCTTTCAGTTTCCTCAGCAATAGATTCCTTGCAGAATATTTGTTTCCCATGTGTAGTGCTGTGACACAGCATTCAATCATACCTGTCCCTTCCCTTGATATATGGCTCAGCCACAGCACAGCTTGGTCAGACCTTCACCAACACGTCACTTACGGATTTGTCTTACTTTCAGGAAGCCCAGTGACAAGTGATTGAGCTAAGAGACATTCTGCCCAAAATGCTGATTTTAAAAAGGACAAACTGAACCAATTGGTAATGGTTAAACAGCTTTTTTGCTATCATAACCAGCAGAAATTTGCTTTGGATAACATGAGCTGACGAAGGTAACAATACAGTGCCACAGCAGCTGCTGCTGTCCTTGTATTGCAATGACTATAAACCAATGCATGAGTATAATCAGGGTGATGAAATTCGAAGTTCTCCTTTTTGCCAATGAGATAAAAAGACTTTTGAAAACAGAAACACCCAAATACACAGCAGCACCCTCTGACTTCCTGGGTAAAACAGAATCACAGAGAGGGATTTGGCTTGGGAGGTTCTCCCCTGGTACTACAGCAGGATCAACCTGAAGTCATTTCTGATGGCTCTTGCATAACCTGCTCAGGGAAGCTTCCACAGAGAAGTTTAAGGGGCCCTTTATTTATTTATTTATATTTAAGTTTCATAGAACCATCAAATGATTTGTGTTGAAGGGACCCTAAAGCTCACCCAGCTCCAGCCCCTGCCACGGGCAGGGACCCCTTCCACTGGAGCAGCTTGCTCCAAGCCCCTGTGTCCAACCTGGCCTTGAGCACTGCCAGGGATGGGGCAGCAAGAGCTTCTCTGGGCACCCTGTGCCAGCGCCTCAGCACCGCCAAATTTGGTTTCTGACTCTTTCAGACAACACAGGGAAGCACGGGGCATAATGAGCTCTTCTGAGGAGTCAGAAAATACCTAATATTGCTTTTTACCACTTGGAAATACTTCTGAATAGGCAAGGAAAGACATCTAAGTGACTGCTGTGCTAAACACAGCCGTCAAATATACCCACGGGATAACGACTGGAAAGTTATGACAGAGGAAGATGCTTTTAAGACTGTTATTTCTTTCTTGTTCTCCATCTCTATGCTGCCAAGAGAGCATTTGAACCTGGGGTTTTAGTATTTTGCTGCTTTCTCAGCCTACATTCTTGCAGAACTGTTCCATTTTCATGACTGCTGATGTGGACCTTTTATGAACAAACTCTTAAGAGTATCAGTTGACCCACAGTCCAAAGGTGTTCCTGAAAATAAACCCAGCATCTTTGCTATTTAGCACACGCCATAGGAGAATGCCAGGCTACAAACTGCATTTACAAGGCTGCCAGTAGTAAAAAACCCTTTTGGTTTCCACTTCCCTCATCACAAGCATCCAAAAGCATTTGACACATCCTGTAGGTAAAGAGTGGCTCCTCCAGGACACAGTGAGCTGTCAGTGGCTGGTGATGGCCAGCAAGCAGCCTGCACCCCAGAGCTCAAACACAGCACGGTCAGGCTCTGTGGCTCCGTTTGCTGCTCCCGGTCCCACATCACCAGAAACAGAACAATGCAATAAGCGCCACCACAGATTCACAAAAGCCCAACTGCTGCCATTAGAAAAGCTGACATATGCACATCTAAATGTGCATCCTGCCAATGCTGAAGGCTCATAAATACCAAGAGGAACCGCAGCCCAGCAAAACCACTGCTAAACGCTTTCCACCGCTTTTCCCTTCTCTTTTCAGGAAGAAGGCCACAGCTTGTGCCCAAAAGCGCCGGGGCATGACAGTGACTTACACCATGCCTAGAAATTCTTTAAAAACGCTCAATCCTATAACTTGAATTCAGCTTACAATGCTCAGCAGAGGAGATTCTGCAGCTCTGTGCCAGAAATGGAACAGGAGAGTCAGAATGGAGACCACCCACTGCAGTTGTTTCCCCCACTCCTTTTGAGCCACAGCCAGTGAATGCTTGGTTGCGCTCTGTTAACATGGTCCCTCGTGCTCACCCAAAAGGATCCAAAGCATAGAAGCACCTCACCTCACAAAAGATGACAAACGCTGGGGTGGGATCCCAAGTGCTGTGGACTCCTGACACATCAACAAACCATTTATGGTTGGAGCTTCTCCAGGAATTGTTGATTAAACCACAATACCCTTAAGGAACCTTCTCTTCACGTTTCCTGTGTCCTTTCCCTGTGGCAGACCCCAAACCCCACTGTGGGCATGGAGCAGCTCCCTCCCAGGACAGCATCCCCACCAGGGTCTGTGAGTGACCGTCACCATGCCCAGGCTCCTCATGGGACACCCTGTCACAGCCCAGGCTTACTCCTCATCTCTGAAGCCTTATTTGAAGTCTTGTCCACTGTAACCAATGGCCCTCCTCACCCCCTCGTTATCACTGCCCAGAACAAGCGCTCTGCAGGAGCCGCGAGCTACCAGGCAGGAACGTGCACTTGAGCGTCAAACTCCACCAACACTAGACAGACCCACACTCGACAGCAATAAACCAGCATGAGCCCCAGTTCTAATCAGACTCCTGCACGCGGATACATCTGAGAGAACCCAACTGAAAACAACCTTGGCTGCTTCCACAGAGCCCCAGACATTAACAAGATGCACGTGAACAAAAGCAAAAACCAGCGGATGAAATGCAGCTAGGCAGGGAAGTGAACAACGACTGCACCACTATCAGCTCCAACAGTAACCCGTGTGGCTCTAGTTCTACTCCTTTTAACTGACCATGTCTCCCTGTACTAAACACAGTAATCACTGGAGCTTACCTGCACTTGAACCATGGGGCAAGGACTAGTCCAACTAAGGAGGAGTGCTGAGAGGCCAACTCACACGCACAGAAACTTGTGAGGTCTGAGCAGCAACTGCAGGAACACTGGGATGGGTTTGAGACTCTGGTGGAGACCCAATGGCTTACAGGGCACTTTAACCCAGGTTTTTAACACTGACCAAAACCCCTCTGTGTTAATGGAAGGAGCCCCTCTCATTGTCATCACAACTCTGCTTTTTCCACCCCATTCAACAGCAGAGCAGGCACTCTTACAGCCACATTAAATACTAGGTT